CGTATAGAGGGGTTGGTGGTAGTATATGTCAACAAGAATCAAACGTTGAATAAATAGTTTCTAACTTATCTAGGAGTGTCAGTATTGCAGGTCATGGTCGTATAGACCCATTTATCTCAAAGCCTAAGTCACAATAGATGACCCTAAAAGGCATGGTTAAAGGTACAAAAAACATGTTGAGGAGATATGTTGGTAAATGGTTCTACGATAAAGAGATTCCCTTTGATGCAGCCAATAGCCCATATTTTCCACCTATGGTCAGTGCAATCTAGAGAGCAGGGCCCGGGGTAAAACCCCCGACGGCATATGAGCTCAATGGGCCAATGTTAGATGAAGAAGTGGAGGAAGTTACTAGGTGGATTGAAGAATATAAACAGAGTTGACCAATGACAGACATTACTCTCATGAGTGATGGTTGGTTGAATAAAGTTAGCAAAAAGGAGTTTTTAAACTTTTTGGCCTATTCCCCAAAAGGTACAACTTTTTTGTCTAGCAAAGACATATCAGGAACGAAGAAGGATGCAAACTTCTACGTACGACTATATGATCAGATAGTGGAGGAGATAGGAGATAAGCATGTAGTCCAGTTTATTACGGACAATGCGCGTGCATGTGTTTCTGAGGGCAGCAAATTGATGGATAAGAGGAAGCATCTAGTATGGACGTCATGTGCTGCACACAACATCGATCTTATGTTAGAGGAGATCGGTGAGATCAAAATTGTGAAGGACACTCTAGATGAAGCAAGGTTGGTGTCGAGATTTATATACAACCACTCTAAAATATTATTTCTGTTTAGAGAAAACTCTAAGAAAAAAGAGATAATCAGGCATGCCATAACCTGCTTTGCGACCGATTATTTAGTTGTGGACTCCATTCGGGAATTTGAAGGTGCATTAAAGAGATTGTTTACCTGTGAAGAGTGGTTAAATGATCTCCTCTCGAAGTCCAGTACCGATATAAAAGTGGACGACATAGTCTCAAATAGGAGATTCTGGTCTCGATGTTCCAGTGTCGTAGAGGCCACTACCCCTTTGGTCACGATGTTAAGAATGGTGGATGCTGACAAGAAAGCTACCATGGGCATCCTTTATGAAGGTATCGAAGAGCGAAATCAGCTATTAAGGAGAAGTGTAGTTTTGTTAGCAAAGTGATCGAGATTATAGAACGGAGGTGAAACACCAAATTTGGACGTCCAATTCATTATGCAGCTAAATATATGTTTATATCATTAGAATGTTTCATTGTAAATTATTTTTTTATGAAATTTTAAATGACATTTCTCTATCGATATATTTTCCAGGTTACTTCTTCAACTCAAAATTTTTCTATTTGACGCTTGAACATCCCCACAAGATTATGGAAGGGGTCAGATACATTATTGCCATGTTGGAGAGAAGTCATCGAAACAAGGTAGCAGCAGTACAAGAGGCATTATTTAATGTTTGGGTAAGACCTTTATTGAGTTGTTATATTTGTGAGGAATAATGCACTGAAACGAAATATATTAGTTTTAGCTTGCTATATATAGGAATGCTATAGGATCCTTCGGAATTAGACTTGTCAGGAATTCTCGAACTAAGATGGATCCAGGTTATCCCCTAGCTAATATTTTGTTCATTCATATGTTTAATCTTATGAATTGTTTTTGCCCTTACAATGCTTTTTGCATTTTAATACAGCTAGCTGGATGGTGGGAGATATATGGTACTAATGCACCTCACCTAATGAGGATAGCAATCAAGGTGCTCTCCCAAACATGTTCTGCTACTGGCTGTGAGCGTAATTAGAGTACATTCCAATGGTTGCACACTACTAGGAGAAATCGACTCGCTTCGGAGAAGCTTCATAAATTAGTATATGTTCATTACAACTTAAACCTCCGAGAGCGACAAATAAGAAGGAAGCTTGAAGACTATGGGCCGATAGACTTAGACACAATATTTGTCACAGATACAGCAGACCAATGGGTAGTAGAAGAGGAGGAGCCAGTGTTGCACAAGAGAGCGTTCCTATAGGCTATCGGTGATGTAGATTTTGAAGAAGGTGATGAGCAGCATGAAAGAGGAAGCAGTCAGCCAACGTATCCATAATTCGTTGGAGATGTCGGTGATATTGCACTTAATGAGGGAGAGTGGGAAGGGAAAATGAGAGAGATGAATATTTCGAGGCCACCCTATCCCAGCCATATTATTCACATATCGAGTCCCAACAGCAACATGGTGGGGATGAGCACGACAGTGTAGGTGAGCATGAAGGATAGACAAGCTTCGGGGATTTTGGATTGGGAATACAACAGAACACTCAGGGATTTGGATATAGTCAGACGCCTGCTAATATCGATGATTTGTTTTTAGATCGAATCAATGAATTGTCAAACGAATTCAATCAATGGCACCAGCGTGACCAAGAAGAAGAATGACGTCGTCTGTCATTTTATTTTTAGATCGTATGTTATTAATTGTACGCTTTATTGTAGTCCATGTATGTTGATATACTTATTCCATGATAATTCTATGTTTATCCTTTTGTGTGACGTAAATTAAATGGTAAATAATAGTTCATGCAGGGAAAGAACATATCAATATTCGCATATTCATGCAAATAAATGAAAATTCTTAATGGAGTACCCTCTTTTTTTATTGAATTCCTAAAAAACAATATTTATAATGAATTTTAATAATTTTTTTGGATTTTTTTGAAGCTTTAATCTGACCGATTCACCCGATTCACGATTCGGATCGCCGATTCTCCGATCCGGATCGATTTTTGAGGTGCCCGATCCGGGTCACCGATTCGCTTTTTAAACCATTGGGTAGAACTAATATTTTTCCTTTCGTACATGTTTTAAATAAAATTTTTATTTTTCACAATTTTTGTTTTAATAATTTTATCGATTTTTTCATTTTTGGGATTTTAGGCCAGCTATTTATTGAACTTGGCTAAGCTTTTTTTCACGCTAAAATGTCTCGGCTTGGCTCAGCTTATCTAGGCTTGGCTCAACTAACGTCAGCTCGACTTGGCTAATATCGGCTCGACTCGGCTATAATCGGCTCAGCTCGGCTCAGCTCAATGAAACTTTAACGTTAGATTTAGATATTTTAGCTGAGCCGAGCCAATATAAGCGGAGCCGAGCTGATATAAGCCGAGCCAAGCCTATATAAGCTGAGTCGAGCCGTTTTAAACCGAGCCCAGTTGATGTAAGCCGAGCCAAACTTCTATGAAGCCCAACATAATATCAACAAAAGCAGGAAAATTTTAATGATTTTTTTTTAGAAAAAAACGACTCTTTTTCATGTAGAAAGATTAAAAAGTTGGGCCTGGCTCGAGCGGTTTGCAATCAGTCGACCATTCTGCCCCAAAAAAGGGTTACATCTCGAAACTTAATAGGGTTAGTGTAGGCTACAATGTAAAAGCCAAGCTAGAAAAGTGCTTCCATGGCCTTCTTCTGGTTTTCTGGGTTTTCAAATTGAGGGGAAGAATTGGAGAGGGGAGCGATGCCATGCCTCCGTCGACTGCGAATTTCTAGAATATTATTGGAGAAGGGAGCGATGCCATGCCTCTGTTGACTGAACGTTACAAAGTGGAGCACATCTCGCTCATTCGAGTTTGGCAGGAGACCACTGAAGGATGGCAAATTACACAATAGCATGACTCTTCGAGTGATTTCTATAATGGTAAAAGTTAGCTTTTCTAATCATTATTCTCGAAGATAGAAATCTCTCTTTCTCTCTCAGTGTTCTAACCCTCTGCTTATGCATCGAATTCCATCATTTTGTTTTGTTCTCTCACTATATTAATTATTGAAAGTGAAAAATTTAGTCTCTAATTCTCTATCTCTATTTAGTTTTTCTCTCTAAGATTTGTTTTCTGGTTTCTGGATTTTTCAAACATTTGTTCCAAGAATCTTTGGGTCGAAAGGGAGATATTGGAGAAAAACCAATTTATTCGTTGCCTCAGGATGTCGTCACACGTTAACTTACCCCGTAAGCAAAATCTTTCAATCGCCTTTGTTTCTCTTATTTTTCTCTCATCTTTGTATTAATTTACTTTGAATTTGCTCTGCATTTCCTCTGAATTCAACTGTGTCACAACTTGATTTCTTAGTTTTAAGAGAGGCATGGATTGTCCTAACATTCCCAACTTCATGTCCCTTTCAATTTTCTTTTCACCAATGATTTGACCCACTTTAGAGAGAGAGAGATGTTGTTATAGGAGGCTATTGGTAATACTTCTTACTGTTTTTTCTCCTTTATCTTCTTCTTCTGATATTGTGCTAAATTGAAACAGAAAATGAGAATGAGAAGAGTTCTTCATATGATTCTTCATATTGGTAATACTCTATGATTTTCTTGTGTGTTTGGATTTGGATGTTTTGGTATTTTTTTAGGGTATGTATTGTTGAAGTTATGCTTCCAGGGCTTCTCTTGTGTTTTATTTTCTTTTCCTTTTTTTTTTTGGTATATGTATTTTTTTAATGGAAATGCCATCTTTTGGAGATTCTAGAGTCCTTATAGGGTTTAGGGAATTGAATTGTGTTTCTAGGGCTTATTTTGTGGTTTCTAGTGGAATTTTATTCTCTCTCCCCCCCCCCCTGCCCCAAGTGGAACGCTTAGCTGTTAGAGATGATTTCGGATCTCAAATGCTTAAATTTTTTATTGATTATCTTGCTCATTTATGCTTTTAAGTGCTTATGATTAGCATTTTTTTTGTTTTGCAGGGAGGGACGCTATATCCTACAAAAGTCAGACTCAAGCTTATGGGAATTCAAAAGAGTTGAAAGGAGGAAGAAGAATCTCAAGACTTGTTATGATTTGAAACTCAAGATCTTGATGACCAAGGTGGATGCAAAAACTTTATATGCGTTTTTTTTTGCTTTCATTCTTTTATTAAAATTTTGGTTTTGGAAGATGAGTTCCTTTTGCTTGTAGTTGCCCTTTTTCTATCTAAGCTATCCTTTCGTTGCTCTCTCTCTCATCACCAGTAAGATGCCACTAATTGCCCTTTCTATTTCTAATCTATCTTTTGTTTGCTCTCGCTCTCTCTCTCTCTGAATCTTGTATTTTGTATGCTCTCAGCCTTATTTACTGGGATCGTAATAGTCTCTTTCTCTATCTCAAAATACCCAATAAGCCATAACTTGTTTTGTTTATTCTTGTATCTTTTACACTCTGTTTCAGTCTTGCGTGCCCATATACAAAATGGATACATATATTTACAAATGGCAAAGCATGGTGTGGCTCCATTCAGAGTAAGATGGAAAGGTATGGGATTCTACTAGCCTTTGTTAATCTATTTGTTGAAGCGATTTATTGGTGATGATGAATCTTTTAGATTTTTTTTTTTTGAGAGAGAGAACAAGCGGTCAGCTTCAATCTCCACCTCGATCTCTCTTTGAGAGCTAGACTTCAATCTCTATTTCCATCTAGACTCCAACTATGATGAGCCCGAGAAAGTTCAATCTAAGGCTTGAACGAACCAAAGAGAGAGAGAGAGATTGTTGTGAAGGGGAAATATATGATGGTTGAGGTAGAGACAAAACCAACAATCATATATTTGTTGAGGCCCATTAGTTTGAATTCTCCTCCTCTTTGTTCTTCTCATCTCTTTGTGGTTTCTTTCTACTTCAAAACCCTAGGAGCAAGTTAGATTTCCCCTTCTCTCTCTCTCTCGCTCTCTTTCGAAGTGGTATTTTTTTTAGTATATAATTGCTAGTTGAATTTTTCTTAGTTTGTATGTTGATTATGATTTATTTTTTTTTATCTTCTTAATTATTTTCTTTATAGTGGAAATTTACGGGTATTATGTTTAGGAGTAACTTGGTTTTACATGTTGTTCCAATAAATGATTTAATTTAAATGATTTCATGGATTTGGGTTTAGTCGTTACTCCTCTCACTTAAAGTAGAACATACGTAGCTTCATTAAAATTTAGTTATAGGTTCAGATGGTGTGTTTGCCTTAGACAATCTGGTGAGGATCACCAAGCATGTCATTTTTTGGTGTCAAACATTGAGGCATTTGCCTGTTCACATCTCAAAGTTTCACACATGGATACCTATGATTTGACATTTTTGCCTCCATAAGTTTTGACATGTGTCTAGAAGTTGAACAGCGATATTTATACATGGGATGCATGTATTTACCTTTTTATGTTAGTTTTTCTTATTTATCTATTACTTTAATTATGTATAGGTACTTTGGTAAAAGAATCATATTTATAATTTTAAAATTCATGTTTTATTATTTTAAGATGTTTTAAGATATTAAGAGCTTTTTGTGGTAATAGTACTAAAGTGGAGAGTAATTTTTTGTATGTACCACCAATGATTGAGAGGAAAAATGTTGGTTGACCGTATTAGAGATAATTGAAATTACATAGAGAGCGTGATGCAAAGAACTTGGGTCCGTCTTGGAGTGCTTTCCCTCCTCTCCCTAGCCTGGGCCCCCCTCGACCACCACCTTCCTCCGCCCAAGCCTG